AAAGCAATGTTTCATTCATATATCTTCTTTTTTATTTAATCCATCTGAACCACCTCTTGTAGTTGTGACTGGCCCGGCCGGGGACACCAGTGGTTCAGACTGAGCAGCATTGTCCAATGGACGTATTTCAGATTTTTTTTTAAATGTGCAGAGAAAAGCACTTTGTGCGACTAATTACCTTAAAATATTTGTCATGACATTCTGCCTTTTCCAAATCGTTTTCAGTGTGAGTCATCCCAGACTAATGTTTAGAACGTGATTTTCCACATTTTAATCTGACGTGAGATTTTAATATCACAATGTATGTTTATTCATTATTTCATTATTTTGTAAAAGAATAGGTTGCATGCTAAATGATTATAGCACTCTTCAGCAGTCTAATGTAAGTCTAATGTAAGGTAACCTGCAGAGGTTTACATTAGTTGCAGCCCGATGACAAATTAACACTTTAGAGAAGTCAAATATTAACTGATAAACTCCTTTACAAAATGTCCATGTCTAAAGATGTTCGGCTTACACAAAACAAAGGAATTTAAGGAACATTTATCAAAAACAGCAGCACTATATGAAATACTGTTGACATTTAAATAAATCTCAGTTATTGGCAGGTGCTCAGGTTCCAGTTGCAGAGCATTGGGAGCAGGCTCTGGATGGTGAGGGATTGTGATGTATAAAGATAACCTGATCAGAAATGTCACAGGGTGATTCAAGTGTATTCGGTATACACTCTATAAGCCTTTATTTATAATTAAACCTGTATAATCGTTTTCTTTGACTTGTGAATTCTGTGGTTCTTTGTTGATCAGTTAGTTGGTATTCTGGGGAGATAGAAATCATAAAAGCACAAATGATTTTTTAACGTTTTAGTGGAAGTGCATGTAGAGTTTATAAGGATTTTGTAAAAAAAAAAAAAAAAAAACCCATAAGATTTATTTCTGGTAGAGGCTAAAAACAACAGATATTTGTTTCAGTGTTGAGTTGCCTCTAAAGATGCTCTGTGTAACTTAGTTTGTTTTATTTCTATGTTTTTATTGCTCAAATGCTGTGAAAAACATGCATTCCTACTAGGTGGGCTTGCCACATATCCAGCCTGTAACCTGGTGCTCATGTAAGAGGTCCACAATATATTAATTAAAGGCATAGTATCTGATTTTTATTGTTTTAAACATGTGATAAACAGAAGCTCATTTTAAACAGTTTGCACTGGTCCAAAGTTATTCCTCACTTGTCTTATGCATTTAGAGCATCCTAATCAGCTGCTTATATAATTTATCTGTACTGGGGCAAGACACGTTTTTTCCTGGTACAATGGTTTATTTTCATAGATCACATTATTTCTTGTATGTTTTTAATCTCACCCTGGCACTTCTAGTGTTACATCTCTCCTCACGGTTTCTTTCATGTTCCCGCCTCCGTCTTTAGCCCCTGATCTCCCAAACGCTGTGAGCTTCTTGTCTATTCTTAAGCTGTATGTAAGAAAGACACAGACACAGCAGTGCATTCTGTGAGCGTGTTAATTTGTAGAAGTGTGCATGGGCTCTAACTTTAAATATAGGTTAACGATGAGGTAATGGTCCAGGCGCGCTGTTTAAGGTTACACTCTTCAAAAGTTAAGTAACAAAAAAGCATGAAGTGAAGTTACCTCTCGCTCAATCCCAGGTTATTAGTGCATTTATTGCTGTGTCCTTGGGCAACACACTTCACCCAGCTTGCTTATAAATCAGTGTAGTGTTGTAATGCAGTGGTGGAACAAGTACTACATTTTGTTACTTAAAAGTGCACTATATAACTTTTTGGTTGGTGGTCCATCACGTGCTTGTTTCTATGGATATGTCATTGCTCTGCTTGGAATGTTCCACAGTATGACATTAAACTGCTCTACCTTACATTTATTCAATTACATGTGGTTTTATAGCTCAAAATACCTAGAAAGACAAGACATTCTGATTGTGAGCGGGGTCGCCTCTCCACAGAGCTGACCTGTAACTCGGTCTGGTTTGATCTCCCTGAAGATAGAAAGGTTTAATGCCATACTCTGAAACATTCCAGACAAATCAATATCATCTCCTTGAAGAAAACACATTTGGCAGACCCTCCACCATTAAAAAAACTCAAATAAACGTAAAATATCACATGAAAAGAATCAACTTACATAAAAGTATTAAAGTACCTGTCTAAAAATGTGCTTAAATAGTAAAAAGTAAACATATTTTGCCTACATTTTGAGGTCTTATAACGCTTGATGTAGTGATTTTGATAAAGATTTGTACACAATTTTGTTCAACAGAAATAACAGAGTTTTCCTAGCTGTCTTTATTTGAATATTTTTGTTTGCGCAAATTATGAATGTATTAAAAATAAACCTTCAGTCTTTTCACCGGGTCTCAAACTATAATAACAAAATACTTTTCAATCCTGTTCAAACATGTAGTGGAGTGGAAAGTACAGATAAATGCTCTCAAATGTACTGAAGTAAAAGTAAAAAGTATCCATATTGAAATGTATTGAAGCAAAGTATAGATACCTAAAATGTATACTTCTGCTTTGTTATGTTCCACCTCTGATGTTTTGTAAATGGGTGGTTGGTAGAAGAGGCTGCAGATTGCCATGTCTTTTGTGTCTGTCCCAAGGCAGATGTGGCTACGGTCTAAGCCAACCACTGACAAATTTGAATAGAAATGTTTAAATGTTTTTCCTTGTGCTAATATAATTGTCATAACCTTGTCCACATGGTTTATCTGTCAACATCTGAAAATAGACTTCTTCCGGTAACAGAATAGACTTAATATTGACACATACTTAATTATTTTTAGTCAGAGAGTCCTTGAGCTTTCATAATTAAACCTGCTGTTATGGGGGAACCGTCTCCCGTGGCAACAGCATGGCACAACATCAATGACCTGTTTTATCATATCTATATGCAGGGCAGTAGACAGGGGGGACAAATGGGTCTGTTGTTCTGGGCCCCAGGGTTTTAAGAGCCCCAAAATGGACCCTCTTCCTATACATTTATATTAGAGGGGGGCCCATATGAGACTTCTTGCCCCGGGCCCTGAATTTTCTGCCGGCACCCCTGTTTACATTGTGTCCCATTTATTTAGATCAATATTTCCAGAGTGTTTTTTCTCGGGGGTGGACGTTGCAGTGAGACTTATGAATCACTGTCTGTAAATGTTGATACAGATATGCTGTTTATTTAGGTTACCGTAAGTTTGAGATCATGGTGCAGGCTAATTTTGGCTGAGCTTTATAAAACAGGTGTTGCTAATGTACACATTGTATACTAGTGACGCAGGGGGTGGTCTACATGTATTTGTATCTGATGTAATATTCAGCACCATGGGGACACCATACACACATTAGCAAACACTGTCAAAACTCATCTGAAAACTAAAGAAAAAAATACAAAATAGATTTAAGCAACACATTTTCAGAAGCCTGTGATCAATTATAGTTCTGTTTAATAGTTTGATTTTTAACATAGTACCGTATTTTTCAGACTATAAGGCACACTTAAAATCCTTTAATTTTCTCAAAAAGCAATAGTGTGCTTTATGTATTAATTCTGGTTTTGCTTACTGATTTCGAACTAATTTTATGTTGAACACGGCGCTCAAAAATTTGTCAAAATATTTCAGGACGACTGATAAGCTACAAATCCACACTGCTTGATGGATTGTTGAAGTATTACAGCTACCATCAGCAGCACATCCTCTGTCACAGAAAGAACATCTATATTCCACTGAGTCGTGTCCTTTAGTCCGACAGGAGCTGATCGCATCAGTGCAGAAAGAGGGAGCTGTTTTTCAGTTTATGCAAATTAGTCATGTGGTTTTAAGTTTCATTTCTGTAAAACAAATGTGCGCAAAGCTGCATTAAACACATTATTACTCAATGTATATTTTAGTCCTCCTCGTAAAAAAGGAAATAAAAAAAAAAAACTTTAAATATTCACCCACATTCACATTCATTATCTACATTTACTAAGACAGGGAGGTAATTACGTCACGATCTGCCAATGGATCGTGGATGCCTGGGCTAAGGGATCATTCTCAAGGGTCGTCCATTTGTTTCGCTTAATGCATTTTATAATCTGGTGCACCTTATGTATGAAAATGGATGAGAGAGCTTCAGACACAGCAGTGCTTACATTTAGCCTCACATGTCCAATCATTAGCACTCCTATAAAATAAAAGAATAAAAGATCTTCTGTGTTCATTCATAGTGGAACAGGACACAAATCCCAAAACACTAGAGATTGGGTCTACGAGAATTTCTCCCATAATTTAAAATGAGTCATATCCTGTTTGCTGTATTGGGTTGTTTAATGCAAGATTGTCCTCCAGTTTTAATTTCATCAACAGTATATGAACATTATTGCTTCTATTAGGCTGTCGCTGCTAATGTCATCAATATTCCCTGGGGGTGTGAAGCTAACTGTAGGCACTGCTCTGCCTGAAGCTTTGTTGCTCAAATTAGACTTTAGACTGTAAATAAATTAGACTTTTTCTGAACTTTGCTTTAACTCAGTTTGACCATAAAGAATTGACTTATCTGAAACTACAACATGTGAGCTGATTTGTGCTGTCTCTCAAGTCTCTCACACATAAAATTGCAAAAACAGTTTTTCTGCAAGTCACTCTCACCTTTTGTTGAAAATCAAGCTCCTGAAAATCAACCCATTTTGCATTTTTCTTGTGTTTTCAAACTTGTATCTTATAACATGTTTGTCTGTGTTTGCAAATGCGTGCGTTGTGTCTGTCACCATGTCCTCGGTGTGATATTCGTTCTGGGTAAACATGCATTCCTTTGTTACTGTGCTTTCTCTTAGTGGGATACATTTGCATGTTTC